CGCGATCCTCTGCCAAGGCCGTTCGGGAATCGGCAAAGGTCGCAACAGCCCCCAGGCTTTGCTCCTCGATGGTTTGCTCTTCTGGCAGATGGTACAGGATCTCACGTAGTGCTTGCAATCCCTAGCCATGTTTGGCCACCAAAAAGAGCGTCGGAGAAGCTCCAGAGTTTTGACTGGGCCAAAGTGTCCAGCCAGCGGGTGATCGTGGCAATGCCCTAAAACCAGGGTTCGGACCTCCTCAGGTACTACGATTGAATCTTCCTTCCACAGGAGTCCCCCCTTGTTCTGGAGGGATATCCCGACTGGGGTTGATGTAGCCGTAGATGCTTCTATTAGCTTGGAGCGAAGGTCCGTCTGGAGCGCCAAGAAATTCCCTGAAGACAGGATAGTGTCGGGTACCAGTTCTTCTTCGGAGTCCTCATACATACGGGATAGCGCGCCGGGCTTCGTATTCTTAGATCCGGGCCTGTAGGTAATATGAAAATTAAACCTGGAAAAGAACAAGGCCCATCTCGCCTGCCGTGGGCGTAGACGCTTGGCAGTCCTCAGATACTCTAGATTCTTGTGGTCTGTGAAAATCAATATGGGGGTGTGAGGCACCTTCCAGCAGGTACCTCCATTCCTCTAATGCGGCTTTGATAGCCAACAGTTCTCGATCACCGATATCGTAATTTTTCTCCGCTGAGGTGAGTTTCCTCGAGAAGAAAGCTACGGGATGGAGTAATTCTTTGGTGCCTTTCCACTGAGACAGGATGGACCCTACCGCATTCTCCGATGCATCTACCTCCAAGATGTAGGGTAGGGCCGCGTCCGGATGACCCAGAATGGGTGCCGAGGTAAAAAGCTTTTTCAGGGCTTCGAAGGCTTCTTGAGCCTCTGGTGTCCATTTGAACCGGGTTCCAAGTTTGGTTAGTTGAGTAATGGGGGAGACCAGACCCGAGAAGTTCTTGATGAACTTCCGATTAAAGTTTGCGAACCCTATAAACCGTTGGACGCCTTTTTTGTCCGTGGGTTCAGGCCAATCTAAAATTGCAGAGACCTTCTGGGGGTCCATCGCGACCCCCGCAGTGGAGATAATCAGGCCTAGAAACGTGATGCTAGATTGCTCGAAGCAACATTTCTCCGCCTTGGCATATAACCCATGCTGCCGCAACCGCCCCAATACCTTTGCCACATGCATCCTATGATCCTCCAGGGAGGGTGAAAAAATTAGTATGTCATCCAAGTAAACGATAACGAAGACATCCAAAAAATCCCTGAAGATGTCGTTCACGAAATGTTGGAAGGTGGCTGGTGCATTGCACAGCCCAAATGGCATGACCAGGTATTCAAAGTGGCCAAACCGGGTACGGAAAGCCGTTTTCCACTCGTCCCCCTCCCTTATGCGTACCAGGTTATAGTCTCCCCTTAAATCAAGTTTTGTGAATATGACCGCAGCCTTTAGGCTCTGAAATAGTTCTGGTACCAATGGCAACGGGTAACGATTTTTGATCGTGACCCTGTTCAGCTCCCGATAATCGATACAAGGTCTCAGGGTTTTGTCTTTTTTCTCCACGAAGAAGATTCCCGCTCCTGCTGGAGAAGTGGAGGGGCGGATGAATCCCTTCTGGAGGCTGTCCTCAATATATTCCTTTAGGGCCCCCAATTCAAGCTCAGATAGGGGAAAAAATTCGCCCAAAAGGAATCTCAGAGCCTGGTAATAGGTCGATTGGACAGTCATACGGGCGGTGGGGGGGCAGAGTATCGGCTCCCCGCTTACTGAATACATCCAGGAACCCATGATAGGCTGCGGGAATAACCTGTCTCAAATCAGAGTCTCCTTCAGAGCATAGGAGAACTTGGGGCCCTGCAGGGCCCGAAGTGCGACAATGTTCCCGACAGTATGGGGAAGGGAACGAGATTGACCCGGTTTCCCAGTCAATCTGGGGGTTGTGGGCCCATAGCCATGGGAGCCCCAGAATGACTGGGAAAAGAGGTGACGCAATAGCATCCAGGCGGAGGAATTCCTGGTGTTGGTTGGCAATGGTAGTGGCAATGGGGGGAGTCTCCTGATTAACTACCCCCGATTTTATCTGGGAACCATCGGCCAAAAAGATGTTGAAGCCCTTCTGTCTGTGTTGGAGGGGAATGCCCTGCTGGTGAGCAAAATCTAAATCCAGGAAACAGCTGCAAGCCCCCGAATCAACTATGGCTGTCACCTCCACGGTCCTTTCTGGAAGCTGAAAGGAGAGGGGCACTGCTAAGTATTGCAAAGGACAGGTATTGCTAATAGATAACGAAGAAGAGCGGGTGCACTTACTCATTTTCTGTGGGCAGGATCACACCGTATGACCAGCTTCACCGCAGTAGAGGCAGAGGTTCTGGGCTCGTCTGCGCTGGCGTTCCTCCGGTGGTAATTTAGGCCGCGCCAGGCCTAGCTGCATAGGTTCTGGAACATCTCCTGGTGGTGGATTCTGGATGCTTTGTCGGGTTGATTGGCTGGGGCCTAGGAATGGACCCCATGCATTTCCGTGACCCTGGCCGGACCTCTCGAGCCTGCGTTCCCGCAGTCTTCGGTCAATTTTAATTGTCAGGGCAATAAGGTCTTCTAGAGACTCGGGAACTTCTACCCCGGCTAGCTCATCTTTCAAGGGATCGGAGAGCCCCATACGGAACTGGGTGCAGCAGAGCAAACTCGTTCCAGCGTGTGTCCCCCATCCACCGCCTGAAATCAGAGGCGTATTCCTCTGCCGCCCGCCGACCCTGTCGGAGCGCATACAAGGTCGCTTCGGCAGAGGCTGCCCGCTGTGGGTCATCATATAAGATGGCCATCGCTTCAAAGAAACTATTGACTGATCCCAGATGAGGATCATTGTTTCCCCTTAACCGGTGGGCCCAATCCTGGGGTTCACCCTGCAATAGTGAAATGATGAATCCTACTTTCACATTTTCAGTCAGAAAGGTACGGGGTTGTAGCTCAAAGAACAAGAGACAGGAATCACGGAATGACCGGAAGCGTGTGCGGTCCCCGTGAAAGCGCTCCAGTAAGGGTACTCGGGGTTCCGCCATAGGGAGCGGGGCAGAAGCCCCTGAGACTGGCTCCTGAGCTACCAGGGCCAGGGGTGCAGAAACCGGGGCCTGTGGAGCCGGGTCAGAGATAGAGCAAGTCTGGAAGCGATTTTCCAGCTGCATACATCTGTCCTGCAGGGCCGTTACGGCCTGCGTCAAATTAGCTAGGTGCCTGCAAATTTCCTCTAGCGGGGAGGGCCCTCCTCTAGGCTCAGTCATGGCCTTCTGGTACCGGCGGTACCACTAGCACTCCACTGATCAGCCGTTCCCAGTGTACGGAGTCTAAGCCCCAGAGTACTTGTTCACCAGAGCCCCTGATGGTGGGGATGGACTTGGAGTACCCTGGGACCAGGTCGTGACTACTGAGGACACCCGTCAGTGGTAGGGGTATTCGCCAGGGGCTCCCACGGGAGAGAGCCAGGTATGAGGAGGTCTGGAGACCCCGTTGAGAGGGATGGATGGATGGATGGATGGATGGCTGAGCAAGTGCAAGGTCATACAAGCCGGGTCGGTAACTATGGGGACGGTGCGGTACAGAGCAGCGGGCAAAGAATAGTCGGGTCACACGCCAGGTCAGCAACAGCAGGTCAGATCCAATAGGGGGCATTCAGGAGAGAGGTCAGGCAAGCAAGGGTCAAGAACAGGAGAAAACAGCAAGGTCAGGGCACAATCCGGGTCAATAACTTACTACAACAGGTTCACAGGTTCACAGGATACAAGGAGACCAGAAGGCACTGAATGACAGCTCAGGGCCGTTTAAATATCCCGCCCTGCGCTGTCATTGGTGCCAGGTGCACGCCCGCGATCTCTACTGCGCATGCGCGAACTTGGTTGCCGGGGTCGGCCAGGTCCCGGCGCCCGCGTTCCTGCACAGGGCGGCGCACTGCGCCTGCGCTGAGCCCAGCGGCGCGGCGATCCCCGACATGGTGATTCCATTAGTGTGTGTTATTATGCATTGTGACGGAATGGTGGAAATTGCATTTTGACCCCATCTTCTTATTGGTAGAGTATATATAAGTCAACATTCTTTTTTTTAATTTGTATAGAGCAGGGAAGGGTTTAAAATGTTGCCATTTTTTAAATTTCCTCTTAATTTCTGTTCTGGTAGCAATTCAAAATGTTGGATTAACCCTCACTTTCATTCCTGATAAAAATTGGTAATCAGGATAATTAAACAGTAAAACAGCAACAAAGACTTGGCAGGGGGCTATTCTCTCACCACTCTATCCAACTGTAAAACGTTTTGCTGTAAACTGGCCATACTCCAGCAGAATTTTGTGCAAAATTGATTTTTTTAAATGTTTGTTCCATTTTGCTGATGGTTTGTGAGGTCATATTGACATTTGTTTTTATTCATAGTGACACGAAAATTTGAAGGAGCATCATGGGAATTTTAATTGAATGAAAACAAATTCTAACTGTGAATGTGGTTTTCGTGGAAAATTTACATGTTATAATGAAACCTCTTTACTACATGTAGAATTCCTTTCAAATGGCAGATCTGGACTAAATTTTAAGGGCTTTCAAAATAAATTATTTGTCTCAATGATGGCAAGAAAGAATGCTCTAATGAATTATTTTTCTGTGAATGTTCACACAAAAATCTAAAGTATGACCGGCAAAAGCACCAATTAGAACATAATAAAATAACTTGCTAAAACACTCACTAACACGTATAAACGCATAAAAAAACACAATTTTTGTAAACACAGCGATGTAAACTGGCTCTAAAGTCAAAAAGTGCAACTGTGCTGTTCAAAAACGTACTGCATAGACTTAAAGAAATATACCACAAAGACTACATTCAGTACATTATAACACATCACAATTCCCCATAACAATAATAATATACATATAACAAGATAGAAATTGACACACACACTAAAACTGGACTGAAAAAAAGGTCAACCATTGCTGGTGCAATTGGACTCAAGCTGTGTCCACCATAGTGCCTAGAAACACAGTCTATATTGTCATTCGCATTATGGTATGGCCAGGGGCAGACTGACCATTTGGAAACTCGGCACTGCCCAAGGGCCCGGGGTCAGTAAGGGGCCCCATGAGATGCCCCTTGTACCTTTTTCACAGGCTTTTTTGAGTTTGGGCAAGGACACAGGGGCCCCATGATCCCCTATTGCCCGGGGGCCCCATGAGTTGTCAGTCCGCACCTGGGTATGGCACATGTGTTTAAGGCACAGTATTGTCTGTAAAATGTTTATACACAATTAGGCAGTACAGGTGGTAAAATATACGCATTTCAAATGGTACTTGTGAATTGTCAACCTACTCCAAGGTGTGTACACCAGCTTTTACAAAGAGGTACATAGTGTAATAGAGTTGCAAAAACTGGTCTATTACTTATATACTGCCAGGTTATCTGAATATAGGTCTTAAACATGGATATTATAGGCTTTTAGGTCCTATTAAACAAACAATATCAAAACGGTTAGGCTGATCATTAACACTATTAATGCCATACAACAAGAATGGTTGAATATTCTGCTGCGGCTATGGTATTCTGACAGCCAACCTTGGCAGTTATCAAAATACTCAAATAGCAGCTGCAACTGATTCGACAATTCTCCACCTGGATCCTTCTCCACCTGGATCCTTTGATTTTTCATTTGGAGGGTGCAAACAGGGCCACCCACCACGCAAATTTCATCTGATTTATCATTAATAATCCAAAATTCGATCAGCATATGGTCAGCTTTAAACTTTCAAGTATGTATTTTTTATATCAGTTCACAATTAAAAGTTGTAGTTAAAGGCCTGTTTATTCACAGTTTAATTATTGCTTTATTCACGTATTCAGTGTGTGTCAGGAAAGAAATGTGGAAGCTGCAATTACTGATATTCAGAAGATCAAGCTCTAAAGCTTGCCATAGACTGTCATAATTTCAGCCAACTTTTGTCACAGGAGCTGGGCCAAAAATTGTCAACCTAACAGTGTCTGTATCCAATCAGATGCAGGTGCTGTTCAGGCCTGGATCTAGGGGGGTGCTGGGGTGGGCTATGCCCCCCAGATTTTAGTTGTGCACCCCCAGACCTCTGAGAATGAATTCACAAATCTATGAGACCTGATGGGGACAGCTGATGAAAGGGGACACTCTGATGAGGACAGTTGATGTAAAGAGGCACTCTGATGGGGACAGTTGATGTAAGGAGGCACTCTGATGGGGACAGTTGATGTAAGGGGACATTCTGATGGGGACAGTTGATGTAAGGGGGTACTCTGATTGGGAAAGTTGATGTAAGGGGACACTCTGAGGGGGGCAATTGATGTAAGGGGACACTCTGATGGGGACAGTTGATGTAAGGGGGTGCTCTGATGGGGACAGTTGATGTAAGGGTGACTCTGATGGGGACAGTTGATGTAAAGGGGGACTCTGATGGGGACAGTTGATGTAAGGGTCACTCTGGTGAGGACACCTGATGTAAGGAAGGACTGTTATAGGAACTTTGATGTAAGGAAGAACTCAGAGAAGAACTCCTGTTATAGGAAGGGACTCTGTTAGGGACACCTGATATAAGGGGGCACAGGTTATGTTTAATCACCCTAATAATGAGAGCATTCCTAGTTCACTCCTGCACCACCTCTGCACTACCTGTAAGATGTTACTTACAGGTTATGATTCTGTGGTACAAAGGTGTGCCAAGTGAACAGGGAATACTGGTTACTGGTTCCATGCATCCCTGTCACACTACTGACATTATGCCCCCTGACTTTTTTTCACTGCACCCCCAGATCAGACAGGCTAGATCAAATGTTCAAATATTCTGATAGTCGGCACATGCAGATGTCAGAATGCAATCGTCTGGCAAGGGGAATTCATCCGTCCACATTGTGTGAATGGAGGAATCTTTCGGCTTCCTTGGTGCACTTCTTAGTGAGTCACTGACCTGGAATAAGTATACAGCCAGTGATGTGTTGGGACACCTAATATGCACATACTTGTTCAAAGTTTCACCATGCAGTAAAGGATGGTTGAAAACAAAAACCCCAATGATGAACCCTCAAAATAAAGTCAGCAGTATTTACAGTATATTTTATATTTATATATTCATATTATATTTTTATTCTGATCCATTTATTTGAATAGATAATATCCTTGTGATTTTTGTGATTTGTTTACTCCTTTTCCATTATTTTGTGTTTTTTTTCCTGCATAATAAAATAGTGGAAATCTTCATACAACAAAATAAAGTAAAATAATACTTTAGAAAGGAATGGCATTCACCTGTTTGATTGATAATGTTAGAGCGCCCTCTAGTGTATGAAACATGTAGCATACATAAAGGAGAAGTAATGAAAACAGATAACCCTTAGCACACTTCGGGTGTCTACAGATGGCCTGATTATAACAAGCAACGCTTTTGATTCATAGTCCAATTATTGGACTGTTTATAACCTCTCTAGGGGTGAAAATGAGCACCACTGACAGCTAGAGAACCCCATTGCTGATTGTAGACACCATTAAAGCAGGCAAGGGACAGTCCTAACTGAATTTAGGGGAAGTCGTTAAACCAGAATGCCCTGCCACTAGAAGATTGTCCTGTTGTGTGTGTACTTTGATGGTCAGGAGACTGAGTGCCTTTTGATACTGCTTCACAAGCCTCTGCTCTAGAGGAACCCCTGTTCCCGGGATATACCCCTCTTTAAAAAATGAGCCTAGATACCCCAAGGCTCTCACCAACAGCCATCAATGAACTCCCCATAAAACAGCCGTGGTTATCTAGATGAAAGTAGAACTATGGAAACAGGATCTTAGCACGAAGGATATGGTGGTCACTTTTGCACCCGCAAGAGGACAGGTGCAGATTATATTAGGCTTGAATATCATTCATAGGGCTGCCACTTCATCCCTTTAAAACAAAACACATATTAATTACACAGGTTCTGAGGCTAATTAAATGCAGATAGAGTACTAAGTGAATTGAATTACTCCCTTAATAGCCACAGAACCTATGTAATTAATATGTGTTTGGTTTTTAAGATATGAGATGGCAACCCTATTATTCATTCAGGAACTGAGGCTTGAGTTGTTGAAAAAGCATCCTACTCACTTGGGTCCACCTAAGGAAATTATGCAACTGCTACATGCTTCATGCTGGAGGACTCTGATGTAAGCTTGGCAGACATCTGGCAGAAGGGGATGTTGTCTGGGTCCAATATGGGACAGAGGTCATGAGACTTCCTAGTCAAGAACTCACGTTCCCTATGTACGTTGGATTGTGCCATGGACTGCAAGGCATCCCCGTCCTCATTGGCCCTAAAATGGGCCACATAGAACTCTGGAAATTCCATGGCAGCAGAAACATGGCAAAAAAAAAGTGAATTTTACTAAGTGGTCAGCAGAAACAGACCAAGTGTGGACAGGAGTAACAGCAGACTCTGACATGAAGTCCAGTGTGATGCTGAATTGTTTGCCTTCCTTCAGCCTGTCAGCCTGCAGTGAGAGATTCAATCTTCATGCTAAGTAACTATCGGACATCACTGGCCACAATGTGAGCAGTTCTTCAATTCCCACAAGATGAAGCTGCATTCAAGGCGCTTGTAGTCTATGAAATAAGTGAGTGCAACCATTGTTGATTCTTATACTTTGAATATTAAAAGTTTAACTGTGAAAAGTGTGGACTTTCTCATGTTTGTTTTTTATTTGGATCAGGAACCCTGCTTTGCGAGGTATTTCAGGAGTGGTGTCACTCTGTAGGCATCCAGAAGAAAAGTCTATCCAGCGAGAAACAGAAGTAATGAACCCTCTGCTTTGCTGAAGTGGTTTGGAAAACAACTACAGAGTGCATTCAGCAACAGATCTCCAACCATATCAGGTCATGTTTGGTCATTCTCTCAGGGACTCATTGACTTTTGGTATACTGTCCCTACTAAAGAACTGGAGCACACTCTAATGTCCTGGATTCTGTAGTGGAAATGGTACCTGTCGGCAGTTAAACCATTTGTTGTAGATTGGGTATGGGTGGAACAAAATAAGCCGAGGTTGTCAGGCTTTGACCTATGGTCTAGAGACCATAGGCAAGTTATGGACACCATGAGAAGAAGCCCCCAGAAATCATCTTACATTAGCTAATTCCAAGAGTACCGAACTGACATCTGGGAAGAGGGTACTTGGGACAAGCCAAGATGCCTCCACCTGTGGCTTCTCAAGTCCATCAAAAATTATGGAGAGGCTGATGAAAGATGTTTTAGATAACCTGTTCAAGTTCATGAACCACAGGTGTCTCGACCGTCACAGGTCCAATGTTGACTACCCTATACTCTTTCAGAAGTATCTCAGGAGACCATCAGGAGAACCTACCCTGTTGACATGACTTAGCCCTGTGGTCAGCTAGCTCAAATCCTTGTACCCTTTGTGGAGCTTTCTAACAGTTATGTGGAGCTTTCTACCATCTACTGACAAAACTGAAGATGAGAAAGTGTCACTTCATGACCCCTTAGACAGATCTGAGACCCATTCGTTCCACCTCTCCCAGTGGTCTAATTTTGGAAAGCCACCTAAACACTTTGCAAAAGATAACCATGTATGGTCTACCAACTTGCCAAGGACAGAAAGCGGGGTGACACTTTGTCCCTTTTTACCCTCCTTTTTCAGCCATCCATGCAGGCACTTTTAATTTCTTTTCCCACAATCTCTTGTACTCCCTCAATCCCAAAGACCCCTGGACATGTCCAGTCTCCAGTGTTCAGGAGGACCATGCCTGATGTTACCAAACACAGAACCTTCCAACACTATATCTGGTGTGCAGTCCACTGGCGAGTGCAAGAGCCTGTAGCTTCCTTGTAAGCCCCAGTCATAGTGGAAACTGTGCCTACTGGCTATGGCATACAACCTTTCCAGTGGGGAGGCATCACCTTCAGCCACCTAAACCTCAAGATAAAAGATTCCTCCAGCCTTACCTTTGTGGAGCCTGCCTGGGGATTCCTGTGGCCAACTACCTGAGCTAAAAGCTACAGACTGTCTCCAAGTGAAAGAGGTGTTAGAACCCCATTTCCAAGGAAATGCATGTATTTGTGTTTGTTTTAATCTGTGCTACACAGTATGTTTTGTATTTGAATTTTTCTGATATTCTGTATGGGCAGCACAGTGGAGTATGGGCAGCACAGTGACCAAATGGTTAGCACTTCTACCTGGCAGTACTAGGGTTGTTGGTTCGAATCCCAACCCCGGCACCACTTGTCTGCAATTTGCATGTTCTCCCTGTGCCTGCGTGGGTTTCCTCTAGGTACTCCAGTTTCCTCCCACACTCCAAAGACATGCTGGTAGGTGAATTGGCTCCTGTCTAAATTGTCCCTAGTATGTGTATGCATGATTGTAAGTTAGGGACCTTAAATTGTACACTCCTTGAGGGTTAGGGACTGATGTGAATGTACAATATATATGTAAAGCGCTTCATAAATTGACAGCACTATATTAGTACCTGAAATAAATAAATAAAATATTCTGTTGCTCTGTGATGTGCTGCCACCTAGTGGTCAAGTGTGGAAACTATCACTATTATTACTGTTTTTGTTCAACACTATTCCATACCTCTTTGTCATTCTATTTGTAATGCCAATTCACCCTGCGTTCATTCAGTAAATATCGAGCTGGTCATCCCTGTTCGCCTGATAATTTATTTGATACCCATACATAACAATGCTACGTTCAAGGCATGCTTCTGGTTATTAAATAAGGCAAATGGCAGAAGAAAACACACAGTAGTGCTGTAAAAGTAGTTTCTCCTTTTTTTCATGCTAGAGTGAGACTGGGGACAGGGGTTTAGCTACAGGGTTTGCGAGGATCGGAGGGAACCAATGCCCTCCATTTTCCACCTACAGCCACTGAAAGCCTGCTTTTCCTCCTCTCTCTCCCACAGGCATTCAGCAGCTGCAGGAAGAAAGTGGAGGGGATTGGTTCCTCTATATGTTGCCTCTGTTGCCCCTCCGGTCCAGGTCCTGTTGCCCCTGGGCACAACTGACACCAGCGTCTGAACTACCAGGGTTGCAAAGGTTTCACTTGTGACTGGGCCCTGGCATTCTGATACAATGGGGGGGTGAAGATGGCAGAAAGGAAGCCAGTTGCAAAACACGTGAAAGGGTCCTGTTGGACCATAATAAAGAGCCCTGGGATGGGAGTAAAAGGCCCTGAGACCAGTGGAAAGGGTCAGATGGGCCCTTCATGGATTCTTGCACTGGGGCCATGAAACTTCTAGTTATGCCTCTGCAGGAAAGGTGACAAAAGGAGTGGAACAAGCTGGATCTACAAGTTGTGTAGAGTAGTAAAAAGAGTGTTTATTCATGATGCACATAGTAAATGCCCCAGGCAACCAATAGAGGGAGACCAAAGTCTAAGTTTCAAAATACACAAATTGTGAATGGATACTTTGTAACAAATACACAAATCAAAGAAGAAACAATATAATTAGAACCTGACCATAAAAAAATATAGTGGGGAAGAAACATTTTGGGGATGGTTTTCTCAAAGAGTGGTAATAGCACTTAAAATAATGAATCCGATATTAAATACAGAATGATGTTAAGGCTGTAGTAAACTGGTTGAAAACATTTTGTATCTGGGCCCCTGCAGCTTTATGCCATAATGTGCTAGTATGGACCGCATGGTAGTACATTAAGACGCACTTACTTGTCAAAGGGAGACCTCTAACACTGCGCTGTCAGTGCTCCAGCACTTCCATCTTCACCCAGTCTTCCTTCCTTGCTTGCTCCATTCAAACGCTTGAATGGCCAGGTTGCGATGACATCACTTGCCATGGCACTGAGCAGGTGCCATAATGTACTCTGAGCTGTGTGTGCATGGCTCAGTGTAGATTACCACTGACAGGAAGGAGGAAGAATTTATGGCAGAAGATACCATCAGGGTCTCTTCTGTCATAAAATACTGCCTGTCAGCACTTTTTTTTAAGAATCAAGTTTTATTTAGTTTTCAAATAGAAGAGTACATACACAAGAAAAGAACACAGAGAGGAACTACAACACTGCAGTCCCAGGTATTGTCTCCATAATGTGCCCAAGAAAAGGAAAAAGGAACAACATCCTTCGATCAAAACATAAGACATTATAAACAAAATAATAACCGATTCCTTTTAGCCCTATAGCAGAAATATAGCTACAGGGCAGCACGGGTGCACAAATCACACATATACTGTATATACACATGATATTGCATTTCCGGGTAGGGGGCACGTGCCCTACCCACGCTGTTATTCGCAGCCTCGGCTGTCAATTACTCGCCAGGCACCCGGTGATCGAGGAGCATTACCGACGGAGGGAGAGAACTGTATGTAAACAATACAGTTCTCTCCCCTGTCAGCTCCTGCACACTGCTTTGCATGGCGTTGTATAGCAGAGCCATGCATAGCAATGTGCTTACAGTGAAGCACACACACACACACACACACACTGCACACAGTAAAACACACACAGCTCGCAGTTAACCCTTTGATTGCCCCACATGTTAACCCCTTCCTGCCCAGTGACATTAGTACAGTGTCAATGACACCAAGTCAGTTCCCCCCAGTGTCACAATGTCTGCCGTAGTCCCGCTATAAGTTGCTGATTGCCACCATTACTAGTATAAATGAAAAAAAACAAAAATCCCAGGATGTAGATACCGCCATTTGTAAACGCTTAAGTTTCACATAAACCAATTACTTTACACATATTTTTTTTTTTTTTAGCAAAGACATGTAGTAGAATACAGTTTGGCCTAAATGTATGATGAAATTTGATTTTTTTAAATTTTTTACTGGACTTTTTTAATAGTAAAAGTCAAAAATATTGTTTTTTTCTCTCAAAATTGTCGGCCTTTTTTGTAGCTCAAAAAATAAAAATGCACAGGCGATCAAATACCGCCAAAAGAAAGCTCTATTCATGGGGAAAAAAAGACATAAACTTCATTCGGGTGCAGCGTTGCATGACCGCGTAATTGTCAGTTAAAGTAACACAGCGCCATAACGCAAACAATGGCCTGGTCAGGAAGGGAGGTAAATCCTCTGGAGGGCAAGTGTGATCATCTGAGGACTGTATGTACGTTATTAGGAGGTCGTTGATACATAAACACGAATCACGTCTCATAATAGTGAACATAGTTGGGATCCAGGAGTTCTTAAATAAGTGTGTCACAGAGATCTTTTAGTGGAAGAGGTCCACATGCCTAAAGTGAGTCATTTGGAATATACCGTGATGGGATGAAAATCTGTCATCTTTTTTTTTTAATATTTAATATCTCTTTAAGAGATTACATGCTAAATGAAATAATAGCGATGAGACATACATTATATATGTAATACATAGAAAGAAATAAAGAAGATAAAAACACTATATACACACATATATATCTATAACTTCATGATGAGGTTGTATATAGTCCCAATCAGAATATTCAAATTTTCACTAGAGGCATCACCACCATGTTTCAGAGGATGGGCTTGATGTACTACATATTGTGGCAGTAACCTAAGGCTTAAAGATTCTGGATTTGGAAATACCATCTCGCTATCTCCCTGACGCTCACAAATATAACAGTTGAAGATGACTACTTTTATATATCTTCTAAAGTCACTATACTTACCTCCTCTGTAACAGTCCAGTGTCCATGAGTGGTCCTTCACTGGTGCCAGCATCTTCTCCCTGGCTTATTCCAATTGTTGGTCTTCAGGCATCTTTGGCCAGCGCGGGATGATGTAACTCCTGCACATGCATGTGCAGCTCAGTTTACATGTTACAGAAGACTGGTAGATTTTTTTACTGTAGAAGAGACATTGCCAGGGGCGGACTGACCATTCAGACACTCGGGCACTGCCCGATGGCCCGGGGTCAGTAGAGGGCCCCATAAGATGCCCCTGGTACCTTTCATAGGCTTTTTTGTGAGTGGTTTGAGTGTGGGTGAGGACACAGGGGCCCCGTGATCCCCTATTGTCTGGGGGCCCCATGAGTTGTTCTAGACTTGTGAAGGAAACATCGAGTGACATTCACGAGAAGTGTGGTTCCGAACAGGGGTGGACTGACCATTCAGACACTTGGGCACTGCTCAAGGGCCCGGGGTCAGTAGAGGGCCCCATGAGATGCCCCTGGTACCTTTCATAGGCTTTTTTGGGAGTGGTTTGAGTGTGGGTGAGGACACAGGGGCCCCATGATCCCCTATTGTCCAGGAGCCCCATGAGTTGTTCTACACGTGTGAAGGAAAAATCAAGTGACGTTCATGAGAAGAGTGGTTTGCATTGCATATCTTTTCTGCAATACATAGCCAGCCTGCTCATAGGTTTTTTTCAGTGCATTCAGATCCACTTTAAGGGCCAGTTCACACTACAAAAATGCACTCTGGATGCATTCCAGGTTTGTTTTTGCTTACAGTTCACACCACACACAGTTCCAGTGCAGTTTTGATGCAGTTTGCTATGTTCCAATATGGTTCTGTGCAGAAAAAATGCAGCATGTTTTACTTTTTTTTTCTGCACCGGAAACTGACTGGAACTGACTATATTAGTGTGAACCTGGGTCATTGGAATACATGGAAAACACTGTGCATGCATTTGTGATAAAGAAAAAAAAATGCACTGGGCTGCATCTAGTGTGAACTAGCCCTAAGGGCCAGTTCACACTACAAAAATGCACTCATGCATTCTGGATATGTTTTTGCTTACAGTTCACACTATGTACCAGTACAGTTCTGTGCAGAAAAAATGCAACAGATTCTACTTTTTGTTTCTGCACAGGGAACTGACTGGAACTGACTGCACTAGTGTGAACTAGGGCCATTGGAATACATGGAAAACGATGTGCATGCATTTTTGATGCAGAAAAAAAGTGCACTGAACTGCAGCTAGTGTAAACTAGCCCTAAGGGCCGGTTCACACTATAGAAATGCAGTCCAGATGAGTTCCAGAAGCATTTTTGCATGCACATATTTGATGCGTTTTTGGCACATTCAGGTGCATTTTTTATGCGTCTTTGATATGTTCCAGTGCGTTTTTTCCCTGCTCTTTTTCTTCAATTTGAATAGGGACATGTGCATACCAGTGCATTTTTGGTGTGTTTTGGTGCGCTACAGTGTGTTCCTGTGCATATTTTATGCGTTTTACTGTGTTCCAGTACATTTCTGTGCAGGAAAAATGCAACATGTTCTATTTTTTTTTCTGCAACTGGAATGCACTGGAACTGCAAGCACTGATGTGAACTATGACATTGACAACCATATAACCTACTTTCTGTGTGTTTTGGATGCAGAAAAAAGCAACTGAAATGCATGTAGTGTGAACTGGCCCTAAAAGAAAAGTATGGGATTCTTAAAAAAAAAAAAAAAAATAAATTATATATATATATATATATATATATATATATATATATATATTCACCTAGGGGGGTGCAGCATTGATCCAGATTGATTGCTTGTAGCTCAAAGCTCAAAAAACACTCAACAAGCAAAAACCTATTGTTTTCAATAGCCCTTGTTCACATCTGAGCGTCGCATGTAGAAAAACACCTGTCGCTCAAAAAAGTACCGTACATGAACTACTTTTCAGGCACAATCGAGCGTTTTTGTCCCCATAGACTTCAATGTAAAGTGCGACATGAGAGTTTTTTTCAAGTGTTGTGTCACGTGTTTTCAGCTCAAAGAGAAGCTCTCACCCCTTTTTCAGCTTTCCATTGGCCACATAAAAAACTCCTAGTTGAATAATGCAGAAAGGTGCACTTCTGCTCCAAAAATGCTCCAAAATGCTTGAAAACGTGATGCTTGGGTGTGAATGTAGCCACAAGAAAATAAAGATCTGCATGGCAACATTGAAAAGTAAGACACACTATATTATTTTTCTTTTGTTTTTTCTTTTCAATAAACAAAATAAAAACACCACACATAATTCTTCTCATACATAATTTAGTTTTTTTATTTTTAGCCATGTAGAAATGAGTTAGTTTTTAGTTATTTGTGGTGTCCTTTGAGTTGATTACATGGTTTTCTGCTGACTACACAAGTTACAATGGTATGTTTCAAGGATTCTGATCTGTATAGGAATGCAGATCATGCAGAAAACTGTTCATATCATGCACTCACGTGAGTTTTCTTTTATAGAATCATATCAAAATATCATGCTGACTGGTTTTTTTATACCTTCAACTTGCTTTCAGTAGAACTGGTGCATTTACAAAGGATTTTATTGGTCTGTGATAAGTATTTATAAGTATAAGGAATGTTTTTTTTTTTTTTCATTCTTCTCAATTAATATAGTGCTGTGATAATACAAAACATATATTGTCTACTTTGGATAAAGCCAGGTTTGTGAGGTGGTTACAGGCCTCCCTAGCTCTCCATTCACCATCTCAAAGCAATTCAATAGCTAATTATAAGAAATAAACCTAAAGATAGTTATACAGTATACCATACAGGTCATCACAACCATTTTTTCAGTATGTCAGCCATCTGTTCTAAACTTCACCTTTCAACACAAAATTAATACTATATTAGCCTCAAAAATAAAATTCAGGCAACCAATGATGCATGCAAAACTGTTTAATTGTGTTCTGAAGTTCCTCAGGAGCCTCATACCTTTTAATATGCTCATTTTGAAATTTCCTAGAAGTATGGGAGCAGGTCTACAGCACCTTCTGCAGTTATGGATCAAAAAGAAAGTCAACGGAAATGATCAGCTCTTACCACAGTTAGGCAGTCTCATAATTTGCATATTAGAACAACCTGGCCCTGCTAGTGTGTTCAAGAAGACATCTCAAAGGTATGTGTGGGCACTGTTAGATGCCTACATTGTAGTTGAGGGGCCATTTGAGCACCATTTTAATACTGACAGCTGTACTTGACAAGGAATCATTGAAGTACGGTACAGATCTCCCTGTAGTGACTAATTTATAAAAACAAGCACATACAAATGTGAAGGTTACATGAAAAGTTACTTGAAGGTAAACCTTATGATAATAAATTAAATATATGCTCACAAAAACTGTAGCTTTCCATGAAAGACTTGACGGATATGTCAGTATTATTCAATGAGCATATAAAATAAATAGGTCCATCCCGCTCCCATATTGTCGGTATGTTGTTGGAGCACAGAAAGCCCTGCAATATCTTTTAGATGATTCTTGTCACTGCTGTCTGATTTGGGGGATTTTGAAGGCATTTTGAAAATCAGGAGCACATATGGCTAGTGCATAAATTGAATTTCTATTAAAAAATACAGCTTTTCTGATTTAGGTGAAGCTGTGCTCTAGACATTTTCCCTACTACAATACTTTTGTCTTCGTATCTGTAAATTTTATTCCTGCACATATCTTTCTGAACTGTCCTGGGAAGCAATGTTACTTTATCAGAACATCCTGTGCGCTCACATCTATATCACCATCTAGAACTGTCTAGGATGCTGTATATAACTGCTCAGTTTATCATGAAAGTTCTGATTGTTAGCTCATAGCTGACTCTGATCCAGGTCTCCAGATGAACTTAATCTCTATAGGATAAATTCATGGAAACCTGTACATGTCAGATATCTCCATGTCAAACATTTATAAGATTTTATTTTTACCATAGTTTCTAGGCAGTATTACATCTCCTAAAAAAACAATTGCGCCTTATATATGATGGAGCCACTACTAGTTATGGGCAATTGGATAGATTGGATTCGATTTGCGTCTGTATTCTGTTCCTCGCTGAGAAATGTGCAGATTACAAACTTTAGCGCAAATTCTATTGAAGCCAATAAGAGGGGAATTATGAAAATCAATCCAATCTATTTTTAACGCTAATAGATAAGGGATTGTCAAACAAAGGATATGGTGAGCTGGGTTCTGCCCAGGCATGTTGCATTTCATGTAAGCCTATTTTTGTAGGCCACATTAACCTCCCTAGCGGTCTGATTATATTTCTGTGCTCAAAGCGGTACATTTTTTTTGCATGGAAATATGTATTTTTTTATTGTAGGCCTGTAATTTTTAGGAATAAATCACTGAAATCTGTCCGAACAAGAGTAGAGTAAACATCCCGGGTAGGATAAAACGTGAAACACGAAATCATAAATTATAATTTAATAAATAATCATAAAAAATAATAATATAATAATAATAAATTTAATTCAATAATATAATAAAACCAAAAACACTGAAATTTGAAATATAGCGCCAAGTTCGCACATCACTGAGCAAAGTCGCAAAATCGTTTTCAGTGTCTGATGAGGAATTCCTCCACGAATCATTATCACTCAATTCTGCAAGTAGTTCTAATTTACTATCGCTGTCCTCTAGCTGGTCTAAAACCACTTTTGACCTAAAGGGACGCTTTTTGGACGCCATGGACGTTTCTCAGTTTCCAGGCAGAAAGAACAGTAAAAATGCAGGCAGGGCACAGGACAAGGCACTAGGGACAAAATGTATGTGAAATGGTTTGGTACAGTAATGTTTTACTGTACGATTTTAGTGTTTTTAGTGAATGTCACTTTTTGTCATTTTCAAATTTCCCGCCGTTCCGTCCCCCGTACGTCCCGATGCTCACAGGGGACGGAACCCAGATGACAGATGCCGGCATCCGCCGGATTACATTGCCGGGGACACTGCAGGAGGGATATCGCGGGAGTGCAGGACAAGGTAAGTGATCGAGGGATCACGAAGCAGCGCCGCATGGTAAGCTCGAGTGTAGCTCGGGTTTACCGCTTGTGGTACTGAAACGTTACCCCGAGCTACACTCTGGAATACTGCCAGGGAGGTTAAAAGTGACATGCTGCTCAACATATAAGTCTTTTTACTAGGCCACATTGGAAAAGGAGAGACGGGGATTTTTTTTATCTAAAATTAAAAAATGATATTGTATTATGTGTGAGAAGTAAAGCAGAAATATTACACAGATACACATATACGCTTTTTTAGCAGGCCACACTATCGAATAAGAAACTAAGCACATTTTATCTAGAAATAAAAATTGCATTGGATTATGTCAGAGACACAAGGCAGAAATATTGTACAATCATCAATTAATCAGTTGGAATAGGATGTATTTTGAGAGAGAAACACCATATTCAGCTTTTCATTCTACAAATCTACATCTAAAAAGGAAGAAATATAGTACACATTGCAAAGACAATATTTGTACTTTTGTAGCACGTGGCACAAAACATGCAGCTGTTCAGGCCAAGTATATACACAACAAATAGTATTTTGCACACTATAAAAAGGAGGGAATATTGTGTACACTGCACAGATATTGGGGCCTTATTGTCAAAACCACATCCCATTTTAGCTTT